GTTGCATCATGGTAAGTGGAGTGCTGTTCATGTGCATGTGGTTGCATCATGGTAAGTGGAGTGCTGTTCATGTGCATGTGGTTGCATCATGGTAAGTGGAGTGCTGTTCATGTGCATGTGGTTGCATCATGGTAAGTGGAGTGCTGTTCATGTGCATGTGGTTGCATCATGGTAAGTGGAGTGCTGTTCATGTGCATGTGGTTGCATCATGGTAAGTGGAGTGCTGTTCATGTGCATGTGGTTGCATCATGGTAAGTGGAGTGCTGTTCATGTGCATGTGGTTGCATCATGGTAAGTGGAGTGCTGTTCATGTGCATGTGGTTGCATCATGGTAAGTGGAGTGCTGTTCATGTGCATGTGGTTGCATCATGGTATGTGGAGTGCTGTTCATGTGCATGTGGTTGCATCATGGTAAGTGGAGTGCTGTTCATGTGCATGTGGTTGCATCATGGTAAGTGGAGTGCTGTTCATGTGCATGTGGTTGCATCATGGTAAGTGGAGTGCTGTTCATGTGCATGTGGTTGCATCATGGTAAGTGGAGTGCTGTTCATGTGCATGTGGTTGCATCATGGTAAGTGGAGTGCTGTTCATGTGCATGTGGTTGCATCATGGTAAGTGGAGTGCTGTTCATGTGCATGTGGTTGCATCATGGTAAGTGGAGTGCTGTTCATGTGCATGTGGTTGCATCGTGGTAAGTGGAGTGCTGTTCATGTGCATGTGGTTGCATCATGGTAAGTGGAGTGCTGTTCATGTGCATGTGGTTGCATCATGGTAAGTGGAGTGCTGTTCATGTGCATGTGGTTGCATCATGGTAAGTGGAGTGCTGTTCATGTGCATGTGGTTGCATCATGGTAAGTGGAGTGCTGTTCATGTGCATGTGGTTGCATCATGGTAAGTGGAGTGCTGTTCATGTGCATGTGGTTGCATCATGGTAAGTGGAGTGCTGTTCATGTGCATGTGGTTGCATCATGGTTAGTGGAGTGATGTTCATGTGCATGTGGTTGCATCATGGTTAGTGGAGTGATGTTCATGTGCATGTGGTTGCATCATGGTAAGTGGAGTGATGTTCATGTGCATGTGGTTGCATCATGGTTAGTGGAGTGATGTTCATGTGCATGTGGTTGCATCATGGTAAGTGGAGTGCTGTTCATGTGCATGTGGTTGCATCATGGTAAGTGGAGTGCTGTTCATGTGCATGTGGTTGCATCATGGTAAGTGGAGTGCTGTTCATGTGCATGTGGTTGCATCATGGTAAGTGGAGTGCTGTTCATGTGCATGTGGTTGCATCATGGTAAGTGGAGTGCTGTTCATGTGCATGTGGTTGCATCGTGGTAAGTGGAGTGCTGTTCATGTGCATGTGGTTGCATCATGGTAAGTGGAGTGCTGTTCATGTGCATGTGGTTGCATCATGGTAAGTGGAGTGCTGTTCATGTGCATGTGGTTGCATCATGGTAAGTGGAGTGCTGTTCATGTGCATGTGGTTGCATCGTGGTAAGTGGAGTGCTGTTCATGTGCATGTGGTTGCATCATGGTAAGTGGAGTGCTGTTCATGTGCATGTGGTTGCATCATGGTAAGTGGAGTGCTGTTCATGTGCATGTGGTTGCATCATGGTAAGTGGAGTGCTGTTCATGTGCATGTGGTTGCATCATGGTTAGTGGAGTGATGTTCATGTGCATGTGGTTGCATCATGGTAAGTGGAGTGCTGTTCATGTGCATGTGGTTGCATCATGGTAAGTGGAGTGCTGTTCATGTGCATGTGGTTGCATCATGGTAAGTGGAGTGCTGTTCATGTGCATGTGGTTGCATCATGGTAAGTGGAGTGCTGTTCATGTGCATGTGGTTGCATCATGGTAAGTGGAGTGCTGTTCATGTGCATGTGGTTGCATCGTGGTAAGTGGAGTGCTGTTCATGTGCATGTGGTTGCATCATGGTAAGTGGAGTGCTGTTCATGTGCATGTGGTTGCATCATGGTAAGTGGAGTGCTGTTCATGTGCATGTGGTTGCATCATGGTAAGTGGAGTGCTGTTCATGTGCATGTGGTTGCATCATGGTAAGTGGAGTGCTGTTCATGTGCATGTGGTTGCATCATGGTAAGTGGAGTGCTGTTCATGTGCATGTGGTTGCATCATGGTAAGTGGAGTGCTGTTCATGTGCATGTGGTTGCATCATGGTTAGTGGAGTGATGTTCATGTGCATGTGGTTGCATCATGGTTAGTGGAGTGATGTTCATGTGCATGTGGTTGCATCATGGTAAGTGGAGTGATGTTCATGTGCATGTGGTTGCATCATGGTTAGTGGAGTGATGTTCATGTGCATGTGGTTGCATCATGGTAAGTGGAGTGCTGTTCATGTGCATGTGGTTGCATCATGGTAAGTGGAGTGCTGTTCATGTGCATGTGGTTGCATCATGGTAAGTGGAGTGCTGTTCATGTGCATGTGGTTGCATCATGGTAAGTGGAGTGCTGTTCATGTGCATGTGGTTGCATCATGGTAAGTGGAGTGCTGTTCATGTGCATGTGGTTGCATCGTGGTAAGTGGAGTGATGTTCATGTGCATGTGGTTGCATCATGGTAAGTGGAGTGCTGTTCATGTGCATGTGGTTGCATCATGGTAAGTGGAGTGCTGTTCATGTGCATGTGGTTGCATCATGGTAAGTGGAGTGCTGTTCATGTGCATGTGGTTGCATCATGGTAAGTGGAGTGCTGTTCATGTGCATGTGGTTGCATCATGGTAAGTGGAGTGCTGTTCATGTGCATGTGGTTGCATCATGGTAAGTGGAGTGCTGTTCATGTGCATGTGGTTGCATCATGGTTAGTGGAGTGATGTTCATGTGCATGTGGTTGCATCATGGTTAGTGGAGTGATGTTCATGTGCATGTGGTTGCATCATGGTAAGTGGAGTGATGTTCATGTGCATGTGGTTGCATCATGGTTAGTGGAGTGATGTTCATGTGCATGTGGTTGCATCATGGTAAGTGGAGTGCTGTTCATGTGCATGTGGTTGCATCATGGTAAGTGGAGTGCTGTTCATGTGCATGTGGTTGCATCATGGTAAGTGGAGTGCTGTTCATGTGCATGTGGTTGCATCATGGTAAGTGGAGTGCTGTTCATGTGCATGTGGTTGCATCATGGTAAGTGGAGTGCTGTTCATGTGCATGTGGTTGCATCGTGGTAAGTGGAGTGCTGTTCATGTGCATGTGGTTGCATCATGGTAAGTGGAGTGCTGTTCATGTGCATGTGGTTGCATCATGGTAAGTGGAGTGCTGTTCATGTGCATGTGGTTGCATCATGGTAAGTGGAGTGCTGTTCATGTGCATGTGGTTGCATCGTGGTAAGTGGAGTGCTGTTCATGTGCATGTGGTTGCATCATGGTAAGTGGAGTGCTGTTCATGTGCATGTGGTTGCATCATGGTAAGTGGAGTGCTGTTCATGTGCATGTGGTTGCATCATGGTAAGTGGAGTGCTGTTCATGTGCATGTGGTTGCATCATGGTTAGTGGAGTGATGTTCATGTGCATGTGGTTGCATCATGGTAAGTGGAGTGCTGTTCATGTGCATGTGGTTGCATCATGGTAAGTGGAGTGCTGTTCATGTGCATGTGGTTGCATCATGGTAAGTGGAGTGCTGTTCATGTGCATGTGGTTGCATCATGGTAAGTGGAGTGATGTTCATGTGCATGTGGTTGCATCATGGTAAGTGGAGTGATGTTCATGTGCATGTGGTTGCATCATGGTTAGTGGAGTGATGTTCATGTGCATGTGGTTGCATCATGGTTAGTGGAGTGATGTTCATGTGCATGTGGTTGCATCATGGTTAGTGGAGTGATGTTCATGTGCATGTGGTTGCATCATGGTTAGTGGAGTGATGTTCATGTGCATGTGGTTGCATCATGGTTAGTGGAGTGATGTTCATGTGCATGTGGTTGCATCATGGTAAGTGGAGTGATGTTCATGTGCATGTGGTTGCATCATGGTTAGTGGAGTGCTGTTCATGTGCATGTGGTTGCATCATGGTAAGTGGAGTGATGTTCATGTGCATGTGGTTGCATCATGGTAAGTGGAGTGCTGTTCATGTGCATGTGGTTGCATCATGGTAAGTGGAGTGCTGTTCATGTGCATGTGGTTGCATCATGGTAAGTGGAGTGCTGTTCATGTGCATGTGGTTGCATCATGGTAAGTGGAGTGCTGTTCATGTGCATGTGGTTGCATCATGGTAAGTGGAGTGCTGTTCATGTGCATGTGGTTGCATCGTGGTAAGTGGAGTGATGTTCATGTGCATGTGGTTGCATCATGGTAAGTGGAGTGATGTTCATGTGCATGTGGTTGCATCATGGTTAGTGGAGTGATGTTCATGTGCATGTGGTTGCATCATGGTAAGTGGAGTGCTGTTCATGTGCATGTGGTTGCATCATGGTAAGTGGAGTGCTGTTCATGTGCATGTGGTTGCATCATGGTAAGTGGAGTGCTGTTCATGTGCATGTGGTTGCATCATGGTAAGTGGAGTGCTGTTCATGTGCATGTGGTTGCATCATGGTAAGTGGAGTGCTGTTCATGTGCATGTGGTTGCATCGTGGTAAGTGGAGTGCTGTTCATGTGCATGTGGTTGCATCATGGTTAGTGGAGTGATGTTCATGTGCATGTGGTTGCATCATGGTTAGTGGAGTGATGTTCATGTGCATGTGGTTGCCTCTGTGCTCAACGCCGTTGGCGCCACCGGCCTGCAGCTCTACAGGTCAGCGTGGCAGTGAGGGCGGGTCAGAGTTTGTACATTCCTGTTCAGTTTTTATGGTTGAATACGATGATGTGCACTGTAGAGCGTGCGTTTGCTTCACCACGTTGAGGCACAACTCTCCCCGTTCGCAACATTGATACATGAACTGAAAGCTTTCAAACTCTGACCAATTTGAGTGTGGCAGTGAGCGTGGTGCACAAGAAGGTGCAAGGCTCATTGCACCTCCCTCCATTGGCCCCTGTGCCACCCGCTGTGCCGCCCTGTTCTCAGGTTCGGCGAGACGGTGTCGATTCCGTTCTTCACGGACACATGGCAGCCCGACAGCTTCTACGACCGCATCCTTGGGAATGCCGCCAGAGACCTCCACACACTCTGCCTGCTCGGTAGTCCACCATGCGCTTGCTCTGCCCATCCATCATCCGTCCCATCACACCACCCTTACGCCGACCTCTTGCTCATGCCCCACATGCCGCACGCAATCGCATTGTTTGCATGGACCATGTGTTGTCACATGGCACGGCACGTGGTGATTTGAATGGGCGCACGAGCCGGAATGCATGCATGTGGGGACTCTCTTGATACTCTGCCACCTCCATCTTCTCATACTTCTTCTCTCTCATCTTCTGTTTCCTCTCTTCTCCTTGCCTTCTGCTCATTTCTCCTCACCCCATTTCTCCTCCTCACCCCATTTCTCCTCGCCTTATTTCTCCCTCGCCCCATTTCTCCTCACCCCATTCATCCCACCCGCCAGACATCAAGGTGAAGGAGCCATCGCTGGAGGCCATGGCCAGGTGAGGCCGGGGCAGGTGAGGCTGGGGCAGGTGAGGCTGGGGCAGGTGAGGCTGGGGTAGGTGACAAATGATTCTGGGAGCAGATAAAGCCAGTTGAAAGTTGTGGTTCCTAGAAACTGACAGATCCTTGTTGATCATTCCATGGGTGCGTTCTGTCGCTGCATGCCTTTCCACGAGTACCAGACTTTCTTCCCTCTTTTCCCCTGCTCTCCGCTTTCCTCTCACACCCGATGCTCATTTCACCAGATGCAAATCCAAAGCCATGCTCTCTTCCCCCTTTTCCTCCTCCAACTGCTCTCTCCTGTGAAATGTGCCGCTCGTGGTGATGGTGCGAGCAGGGGCAGGATAGAGTACGAGCCAGCACGGTACATGAGTGTGAACACGGCCATCCGGCAGCTGCTGCTCGTGGAGGAGAAGCGCCAGCAGAATGGTGAGGCGTGCTGACAGGCTGCTCCTCACGTCACCTCTGGTCCGCTGCTCCAGTCCGACAAGTTTGAAACAAAGAGCAGCTGCCACTACTCCCCCCACCCCACACCTCCCTGACACTCTCAGCATTCGCCACAACCACCTCTCATCTCCTCTTCATTCCTCACACCCTTTCTTCCCCTCAAACCCCCATGCTCACCGCATCCCTGGCAGTCTGCACACCAGACTCACTTTGTGTGGGAGTGGCACGGCTGGGTGCGGACTCACAGTGCATTGTGTTTGGCAGCATGCAGCAGCTTTTAGACGTTGACTTGGGCCCGCCTCTGCACTCGCTGGTGCTGTGTGGCGCACTGCATGAGCTTGAGAGGGACTTCCTCCACGCCTTCCGAGTCACGGATGCCACGCCCAGGATCGTGCAGGGCTCGGAAGGAAGCGAAGAGGAGGAGAGCGAGAGGCCCATCTTGTGAGCAGTGCCCAAAGTAGCTAGGTGAAATTGTTTAATTACCCTGGTTTTCCAGGCAAATCTTCTGTACCAGAGGAGCCATTTTCCAGGCCCACGTATTAGGCCCTCATATACGGTACCGGTAGGATTGGAGACATTAAGACCCCTCACAACAATAGACTCTCTGTTCTGTAATACGGACCACAAGTGCGTATGACCCATCATTTGGAGTCACATCAGCGATCATGCCTCTTGACAATTTCGAGTTTCTGCAGGTAAAGAAACGTAAGGTTCAACGAATTATCATTAAAAAAGGAAGGTCAAGCCAACCTGAGGGATCAAGAGGGCCGTGCATGAGGAATGACAGAGAGATTGCTTAGCGTAACATTGTATTGGGTCGAAAGAGTCGTACTCGGTGTTCCAATGCACTCCCCCGAGCAGGGCCCAAAATTGGTTTAGGCCCACCCTGACAAATCAGGGTACCCTGACCAGGGCTCTGGTTATCAGACCAAATTGGTCTGATGGTCTGAAAATCAGACCTACTTTTTTCGTTTCATATGATTTTCCAGACCAGCATTTTATTTTCACTTGAACCGTAAGACGAAGATTTTTATCTCGTCTGAAAAATAAGACAACGCGTTATACTTCGTCTGAGATTTCAGACATCGAGTATACTTTCATCTGATACCGACCAAGTATCGAATTCTGTTGGAAACGATTGATTTAGCGCCTCTGTCGTGTCGAAACACCAAGTCAGAAGCGAAGCGAAACATATCGAAGCATTAGCGAGTCAACCCTCGGAGGTTGAACAACTGCTGGAGGTTATGCGAACGTCAAAGGTCAGCGACTTTTGACCTGACAAATACAGCGCGACAGCAAGGACAAACAACTGACTCGTTATTGAGCAGTTGCCCGAGTCGTCACTGTATCGAACCGCAACAGCAACAGCAAAACGGTTATTAACTGTATCTCTTCGTATTCCTTGTACTCTTATAAAAGCTTGTATCCCTTTGTTTTTATCAATCTACTTTGCCCTCACATACTAGCGCAAGGTGGTTCACAAAGTTCTCATTTAACGCTTCCGCTATTACATTGTCCTACTCAGAATTTAGTCCTGCAAAGATCCTAAGGGCTTTTCTCAGCCCAACAAATTCCACCCCCCCCCCCCCCCCCCCCCCCCCCCCCGCCGCTCCCTCGCCCCTCCCCCCCAATCTTTTACGCTCCCCCAAACCAGCCCCCGCTTCAGCAGTCCCTCGCTGCTCTAGCAGTCCAGCCAGCCCCCACGCAATCCCTCGCTGATTTAGCAGTCTAGTCCAGCACCCCGCAGTCCCTCGCTCCTCTACCAGTAAAGCCCCCCCTTCACCCCCTCCCCCCGCAGTCCCTCGCCCCTGTCCATTCCCCCTGGTCCGTCGCGTCACACACATTCAACAGTGGTCCTCGCAGCCCAACTCTCCCCCGCCTCTCCCAGCCCAGTCCCTCTCGCCACGTGACTAGTGTTCTAGCGGGCCGTCGGCGCCACCAGGCTACGTATTCACAACAACGTGTACATAGTGTACAGTATAGGTAATTGGCTGAATCAGACCATCCAAAGCAAACCATCTGAAAATTCAGACATAGCTTCAGCATTCGTCTGAAAATTCAGACCAAAAAAACTGCCCATCTGACCGTCAGACGAATTATTATTATTATTATTATTATTATTATTATTATTATTTTCCAGACAGGCCTACCGGTAAATCCTAGCAAGAGCCCTGACCCTGACCCTTAGGGTAAAATTTTTCATACCCTGATGCCAGCAGCCTAATTTTTTTCTTACACTAATCGTACCAGTGTATGATTGTAGTTAGACTGTTTTCACTGCAGTTTGTCTAACTCATTCATTTCACCCTAGACCCCTTGGGAAAACGCGAACCACACCAAGCCCCCTCTTGAGAGTGATGCATTGCGGAATGGGTGAATTGCCGTAATCCCCCGGATATAAGACCCCCCCAAAATAGAACACCCCCGGGTAGCTAATACGGGGGGAGTGTTTATTAAGCCTCGAAATCGTTATAACCCCCCTTTTGAGGGGTGAACAATATAAGACCCCCCCCTTCCTCTATAAGGGGGTTTCCATGTACCGTCATCGCCCGGATAGTAGACATATATGTCTTATCTCGTACACTACTCAAAATGCTTGGGTTATCTTGTACTTGGGATGGTTTATGGTGTCTTATAAGTCTTATAAATGGGAAAAAATATAAGTACTCTGTAACATTTGCAAAGTGTGTAGAAACCACCCAGGGCCCAGATTCATTGAAACGGGACGACCTCGTTGGTGATGCATGCAGCGCCCCCACTTGCCACGTGAGGGATGCAACAAAGCTACCACTGCTAGCAACATCCCTCCGTGCTGGCAGCATCTAATGATGCTACCAGCGTCGTTTTGCTATCAGCAGCGCATGGATGCTTCCAGAACGTTGCTGGTAGCACGATGGCAGTGTGAGGGCCGTCCTCTACGAGGAGATTCCTCATAGAGGAGTGGCTCGGCACCTTTGGAAGGGACACTCTGGCTGGGGGGGGGGGTAGTCGGGCTTGAGCTTCATTTGGTGCTCAAGGAGGTTGAGATCTCAACTCAACCTTTGCTCTCGGCAGGCTTAACCATGCGCAGCAAATTCCCCGTAGGCACGTCCTCACCTCGCCCTCACGTGCAGGTGAAAAACTATGGGCGACTGAACTCGCCCGGTGATGACATCCGTATAGCCATGACGAAGAATACGCGCAAGGCAGGAACATCTACCACCGCCTCCAGTGCGAGCTGTGACGGGGACGGCGGCGATGAAGAACATGTCGACGACGGCGACGAAGAACACGGCGACGACGGCGAGGAGGATTGGCCAGAGAACGGCCACGACGACAGCGCTTCGGGGGATGAAATAGCTCCTGCCGACATCGACGAGGACGAATGGTGGAATCGGCCGGTTGGGAGTGACGACGAAGTGGAAGAGTGGCGGGCTGGTGATTCGGACAACGACGAGGGTGCCGATGCTGATGGTGAGCACGTGGAGGCAGCGGTGCACGCAACGGGAGCGACGGTGGATGCGAATGCGGAGTCTGACAACGAGGCGGATGTGGAAGCGAGGACGGAAGAGGAGGCGGAAGCGGATGCCGATGCTGTTGCGCCCGCGGATGTGCCCACAATTGCGGATGCGGATGCGGATGCGGATGCAGTGGCGGAGGCAGATACGGATGCTGCGGAGGGAGGTGCTGATGCTGTCTTATTTGACGACCAAAACTCCGATGACGACCCGTGGAGCATCACAGGTGACGACGATGTTCCGCTTCTTAAGCGGAGGCTGCGTCATCGCCTACAATCCAAGCCGAAGCGTGCCCGCGTGGTGCTCTTTGATGACGACAGTCCGGGGGAGGAGCGTCAACCGCGCATCACTGCTGCAGACAAGGGGAAAAGCAAGGTCGCGGAAGCCTCTGCTAAGGCCACCGTTCGTCGCTGCACAAGCGACAAGAAGCGGAAGAACGACGGCGACCCCGGATCCAGCATGGGTGCTGTTAAGAAGAAGAAGAAAACGCCAAACAAGGGCGACATCGTGGTCAACGAGGCGCTCGGCAGCGACGATGACTACGCGGAGGCTGCTGGCTCGATTCCTTCATTCCCTGAGAAGGCGAAGCCGAAAGATCCCACCCTCCATAATCCCAACTCCCGTCCACCTTCCCCTCGCAGCAAGGACAGTAAGAAAAGGCGACGCGGATGGACCATACACGAGAAGCTCAAGTGGGCGCGCCGCTACCACGAGCTCGGCTCCTTGAAGAAGACATCCTTGGAATCTACCGCATCCATCGCCTGCATCAGACGCTGGTGTGCGGAGGCGGCTGCGGGCGTCTACAAGGGAGCGGCGAACTGCCGCAAGCGGATGCACGAGGGGGGGGAGGGGGCGCCACGCACACTACCCCGACATGGAGGCGGCGTTGTACCGTTACATCTGCCTGCAGCGCGCTAATGGGGTGGCGATCTCGGTGAAAGACACCCAGAAGTGGAGCCGCGAGTGGATGAAGAAACACCACCCCGGCAAGAACTGGAATGCGAGCTCTCATTAGAGCCAGCGTTTCCGTGACCCCTGGAACCTGGTCATGCGTGTGAAGACCAAGGTCGGCCAACGGTTATCGGCTGGTGAGTGGTAAAGCCCTTGGATTCGCGCTCGATGCTTGGCTGCATGTTCCTCGCCCTTTGTTTCTAACCATCCCCTCCTACCGTGGCGTGTGTTCCCTTTGCAGAGTGCGCTAAGGACTGCGAGTCACTCTGGAAGTTCGTGCGCATCAACAGGGCGCGGCACAACCTCGACCTCGCCCGCATCATCAACGCGGACCAGACGCCACTCTTCGTTGAGATGCTGGCCGAGAGGACGATCGAGCACCGTGGCGCGTGCTCAGTCCCAATCCGCACCGCAGGATACGAGAAGACGTGGCTCACGGTGATGCTCGCGTGCACCGCATCCGGGGAGAAGCTGCGCCCGTGGGTTTGGTTCAAGCTGAAGAACGTGCCCAACTGTGAGATTCCGGAAGGTAAGCTCAAGGAATTCGGGAGCCGTAAGCCTGATGAGCTTGCCCTCCTTAGCTGACGCCCGTCCATCCCCTATGTGCCTAGCAGGAATCGTGGTCCAAGCACAGGACAACGGGTGGATGGATGAGAGCGCTGTGCAGACCTGGCTGACCAAGGAGGTGCTGCCCCATTTGAACCCCTAGTGCGGCCAGAACGCGAGGCGTGCGATGCTGGTGTTGGACTCCTACCGCTTCAACACCAGACCATGCTTCAAGCTTACCGCACGCACAGCATCACCCCTGCAGTGATCCCAGCGGGTTGCATGAGCCAGATTCAACCCCTTGACGTCTCCATCAACCGGTGCTTCAAGGCTGCTATGCGAGCGCGCTACGCCAGGTGGTTCATGCGTGAAGGGATTCACCTGAAGACGAAGAAGGGTGAGTAGCCTTTTGAATTAAACTTCTGCTTTGTTTTCTTTCCATGTCTCTAACGGCTCGCTACCCCTGCCTCTGTCCCACCCGCAGGGAACCTGCGGAGGCCTCCGCACCCCGTGGTGCTGCAGTGGATCGCGGAGGCGTGGGATCAAGTCCCCAAGAAGGTCATCATTGACCCGTTCCGCCACTGTGGGATTTCAAGCAAGATGGACGGGACAGAGAACCACCTGGTGATGTCTCACCTGCGCGCCAGGAGCACCACCGATGTCGCCGAGGACATGTGCCTTGGGGGAACCACGGGCGACAACACGCGCCTGCTTGAGCAGGCTCAAGAGGAGGAGGAGGAGGAGGAGGAGGAGGAGGAGGAGGAGGAGGAGGAGGAGGAGGAGGAGGAGGAGGAGGACATGCAGGCGGAGGGCGTGAGGGAGGTGGCCGTGGCAACCGGCCTGGGGTTCCTTTACCAAGAGACCCCCAACTACCGCAGAGCGGCAACTGAGGCTGACCGCATGATCGAGCCTAGGGAGACGGCTAGGCATGCCTGGCGAGTGCCAGGCCTGGGTGTTAGGGAGCCTGCTGTTAGTGCAGATGAGGAGGCCGTGACTGAGGGGGGCTAGGTAGAAGTAGAGCTTCATAAATGTATGCATGTACCCCCCTAAACCCTTGTTCTGATTATAAGACATATATGTCTTATCTCGTACACACAAATAGGTGTCTTATAATGAGGCTAGTCTGTTTATAAGAGACACCCGGATAATAGACAACCCCTATCTACTATTCAACACTGTCTACTATCCGGGCGATGACGGTAGATTTTTTATCAACAATTTAAACCAAAACATGTTATGATGCGTAATTGGACTGTCTGGGGGTGAATTCGCAGTGTCAAGGGATGAATCTGCTGCGCCAGGGGGGATTTTTCTGTGTCGGGGGGCGAATTTTCTTCGTGAGGGGGGGGATTCTGCTGTCAGAGGCGAATGCGTTGTGACTAGTCAAGGGTTTCCGGCAATGCTGTGACTAGTCAAGGGTGATTCCAAGCGAACAACGATGCGCTCTCTTGTTGCTCGCCAAAAGCAGACCAGCAAGTTCAGTATTAACAGTTGTGTCCAAAACAAGAAAATAAATATTTGTCATGTGAAAACACCCGAATAGTATTTTTTATTTTTCCTTTGTTAAGACCTTTTTTACAAGGGGATTTACAAAACACCCTAGAGTGTTATATCCGGGGTAATACGGTAGGAAATGGATGGGGTACAAATGTGCAAACCTAAGAGTTGTACCCCCTAGAAGGCACCTCACTACAGCCTAACATTGTTATTACACTTTGACACACCCCCATAGGCTAAGTGAGGGGCATCAAGGAAACGAACAAGTGACAGCAAATGGTCACAAGACTAGTCAAGACAAGAAACACAACAAAGCTCAGGGTGGATCTCAAGATCACCACGAAGTCCGAGCACAAACAAGGGGCCACAACGCTAGTTCTCAGAGGTCACAAGAATATATAAATCCAAGTAAAACAGTACAGCAAGCAAGAGACAAAGCTACAGGAACCGAGGGCCTGCCTCAACAAGTCCTAACTGCACACAGAACCTGTGGTGGTCACCAGGTGCCAAGGCCTTGGTGAACACGTCGGCAGTGTTGGCCTCTGAGGCCACAAAGTCCAAGCGTGCCTGGCCGCGTCGCTGCAACTCTCGCAGGAGAAAGTACCTCACGTCAACGTGCTTCACTTTGCTCTCCAGTCGAGGCTCTCGACGTAGGAGGATCATGGCCTTGTTGTCAGCAAACAAGGTCGGTGCAGAGTGAGGCTGCTCACCAAGTTTGTTGAGCAAGAAGGTCAACCAGCAAAGCTCTTGCGCAGCCATGGCACCAGCGTAGATCTCTGCCTCTGCACTAAACGAAGCCACAGACGACTGTCTAGACTTCCACGACACAGCTCCGACGCCCAAGCTGAAGCAGTACCCCTGAGTGGACCTCTGTGTCTCCACGTCGTCGGCGTATGAAGAGTCGCAGTGACTGGTCAAGACAACTGGCTATCTCCCTCCAAGCACAAGCCACATTCCTGGTGTAGTCGCCAAGTACTTCGCCACCCTCACAGCAGCAGTCCAGTGAACAGGACGGTGTCTCCCAGTCGCAACAAAGCGAGAGAGGACGCTGAGAGGAAAGGTGAGGTCTGGACAAGTTTAAGTCATCAGGTACACGAGGAAGCCCACAAGCTCTGCGTAGAGACCACTAGGCTCAAAGGGCTCGTCGGGAAAAGGGTCGGTGAGTCTGTGGTCAACGGCAAGAGGAGTGGGCTGTGTGGTGGAGTGCTGAAGCCCGAACCGCTGAAGGACCTGCTGCACCATGTGTGGCTGTGAGAGTGTAATGGTGGAGCGGCTCTGTCCCTGGTGATCTGCAAGCCAAGGTAGCGGCGCAGCTCACCAAGGTCAGTGCACGTGTATCTGTTCTGCAGTTCAGACTTCACTTCAGCCAGAGCGGCCCTGTCTGCTGTAGCAAAGACCAAGTTGTCAACGTAGACAAGGACGAAGAAAGTTGTGGGCCCAGAACGAACGAACAACGACGGGTCGGCGGACAAAGGACGAAACTCGAGGGCAGCAAGAGTGGTGCGCAGCGTGTTGTGCCAGTCACAGGGCGCCTGGCGGAGACCGTAGACAGGTCGTCTCAGGCTCCAGTGGGTCCCAGGCGGGAAAGTGCCAGTGTAGCCAGGAGGACGGCGTAACCAGATCTCCTAGTGCAGGCTGCCCTCGAGAAAGGCAGTGGAGAAGTCGAGGGAGTGCAGCTCGTAGTCTCGCTGTGCTGCAACGTGAAGTAACACCCAAAGAGTTGTCATCTTTGGGGTCTGGGCAAAGGTCTTGAAGAAGTCAACTCCCTCACGCTGAATGAAACCTCTAGCCATGTAGCGCGCCTTGAAGATAGGCGGCGATCTAGGCGGCCGCTTCACCTTGAAGATCCACATGCCGTCGACTACGTTCGCCCTGGGAGGGGGAACTGCGCCAACGTAGGTGCCTGTGGATCTCCAAGACGCCATCTTTGACAGCATGGCCGCTCTCCATTGAGAGACCCACTAACCTGACACTGTCTCATGGTACATGCGAGGAGTCGGAATGTCAAGGGCGTCGGGGTCTCCCTTAGGATAAAGCAGCATGGCACAGGGAGAGGGAGAAGCGGCTGCCAAGAACTCCAGCTCAAACTACCTCTCCTCTAGGACGTCACAGCCAAGGGCAAACTCACCCCCTGCGGATAGAGTACGGGCAGGCGGAGCAGCCACTACACACGTGGCGAATTCAAGGCGGCGGGTGGCAGCAAAGTCAGCAATAGCGGCAGTAATAGCCGAGACAGACGATGTAGAGGCATGAGGGTCAATGACAAGAGAGGTGAGAGCACGCGAGAGAACAGGACAAAGAACACGGTAGTAGTCCGTGATAGGGTGAGAGGAGACAGTGAGAGACGACGCAAGAGGTGGCGGGAGAACAGACAAAGGCGGAGCACGATGATGACTAGAACGAAACAAGACAGTGCGGAGGTCATCAAAAGGAGACAAGGGACGAGCACGTGGAGGACAACGAGCGGTCAAGTCATGCGGGAGAACATGAGGAGGCGACTGTGACTGAGGAGGAGAGAAAACAGCCGAAGCCGGGTCCGGAGGAGGAAACGTATGACCGTACGCAGTAGGAGACTGTGAGTGGACAGGAGGAGAGGAAGGAAGACCAAGGGCCCAAAGGCCACTCACTAGAGGGAACAGCTGCTGCAAAGGTGGCGGCTGCGGCGTCTTCTGCTGCTGCTGCGGCTGGTGCCGCTGCTGCTGCGAATGCTGCTGCTGCTGTTGCTGCTGCTACTGCTGCTCCTGCTGGTCCAACTGCCGCAGCTCCTGCCTCTCCTGCTCCAACCGCTCCTGCCCCTCACGCTCAACCCGGCGAAGAGCCTGGAGATGTGTGTCGTAGCGGTGGGGAGGCGTAGTGGGCGCTGCAGTAGTCGTGCCTCCAACACCTGTCTCCTCAGTGCTAGCACCTCCAGTGCGAGCGCCTCCTGCACCAGCACCCCCCGAACTAGCACCTCCAGCTCCAGCACCCCCAGAACTAGCACCTCCAGTGCCAGCACCTCCAGCTCCAGCACCCCCAGAACTAGCACCTCCAGCTCCAGCACCCCCTGAACTAGCACCTCCAGTGCCAGCACCTCCAGCTCCAGCACCCCTCGAACGAGCACCCCCAGACAGGGTACCTCCAGTGGCAGCACCTCTAGCTCCAACACCACCTGAGTCCACATTAACCTGTCGCAGAAGGGTCGAAGGCTGCTGAGGGGACTGTGAGGAGGACTGCGGGAAGGGAGACGCTACCTGACGCGCGGCCGAGGGTAGTGGGCCAGCGTGAGACACACCTGACGGAGCAGGACCAGGCGGGGGCGGGGGTACCGAAGGAGCGGGAGCAGGAGGAGGAGAGGGTGCGAGGAAAAGAGGAGGAGGGGGGACCAAGAGACCTCAACAGGGGTACCGGGTGTAGTAGGACACGGACTCGTCAAACATGACGTCACGGGAGTCAAGAAAACGGTGGAGGGGTGGGTGGTAAAACAAAAAGTCAGGAGAGTCCACCGGGAAACCAAGGAAGACACAGGGGATGGCGCGAGCCGAGAGCTTATCCGCAGAGGTGTCGCGGACAAGTGCAAGGCAGCCCCAGACGTGAAAATCCGACGCAACACCAGGTGACCCGGTCCAAATATTGGTCGGTGAATCCCCTGGTCGTGAGACACGATGCCAGAGGTTCAGCTGGTGGGCGGCGTAGCGAACTGGGTAGGGCCACAGAAAATGGGGCGCATGGGCATGGATCATGGAGGTGCGGTCGATCTCCATGACCAAGCCGATGTGGTGCTCAACAACCCCATTCTGTTGTGGGGACTCCGGAAGCGTCCAGGACTGTGTGATGCCCTGCTCGCCGCAGAACCCGGCAAGTACGTCGGAGCGGAACTCACCCCCACGGTCAGAGTGGAGACAACGGACATGACTAACACGAGTTCCTTTAGTGGCCAAAAGCCACCGGATCAGCGTAGAAGTCACCTTGGACTTCTTCGCGAGAGGAAACACCATGGTGTACCTGAAGAAGTCGTCAACGACCACAAGGAAGTAGCGCTCCCGCTCGGACCCAAGACGAGGGGCAAGGCCCCAGACGTCCAAGTGGAGTGTCTGGAAGGGAGCGGTGGCCGGACGAAGGGAGGAGGAGTGAGGAGTGGCGCGCAGCCAACCCTCGACGCAGGCGAACGGGGGAGCGTTTCAAAGACCCGCGGGAGACCTGAGACTCTGGCTGGCCATTCTATGGAGGCGTGGGAGGGACGGGTGACCTAGACGGTGGTGCCACAAGACTGTCAGGTGAGAGAGTGACCGACAAGAGCAAGACGCAGCAACCTGACCTGAGGCAACTACCTGACCGGGCGCAGTAACCTGACCAGACGCAACTACATGGGGGGGCGGAGTGTGCAGGACAAAGAGACCTGAGTGGGGCTCTCTGGTGAACGTGGCAAGAACTGCTCCGGTGGAAGCGTCCATACATATTGCAGTCCTCCTGTACGCAGGAAAAATGACTGTGATCCCATGGTCCCGAAGGTATCCAACACCCACTAAGTTCTGAGAGAACGAGGGGATGTAGAGACCAGTGAGGACACCAGAGGGGACAGCCGGGCACGGGAGACAGCTGGTCCTGAAGTAGGATCAGCCAGGGCAACTAGGACCGGAGCAGCAAGAGGTGTGACAGTGGTGTGGTCACGGAAGAAGTACTGGGACACGCCAGAGTCCAGCGTGAAGGAGAGTGACACGTCAGCAGTCGTCACAGCTGCACTAGTAACTACACAAGCACCTACACTAGAAGCACAAGCACCTACACTAGCAACTGGCAAAGAACCTAAGTTGGATACACGTAAGTCAAGAGATCCATTCGTGGCAGAATAAACAGCATCCATAGACATATCAAACACACGGTAACCACTACGAGACATAACGGGCCAGATCGGGGGAACCGAGTCAGGCCCAAAACGCTCACGGTAG